CCCAGGTGCGCTTGTGACCCCACCCATCTGTCACTCAGACAGTCGCCCATTGCACGCACCTTAAGCTTTTTGACACTGGTGCAGGGATCATTGGAGAAGCTCTCTGTGTCGGAGATTTCAATGTCCTCGCCATAAAGAACGCCAGTCAGGTCGTTCCTCACCTGTCAGCAAAGAGAAGGCAGAAGGTAGGTATGGAGGTGACCACAGGAAGGCGAGTTCCCACAGCCTGTCCCGGGGAAGCAGCCCAAGGAGCGGGATGACCCATCTCCCAGTGGTCTCCACTTCCCTGACCACAGGAAGGGCTACTGCGAGCCTCTTTTTCATTGTGACCTAGAGTGGCCAGGGAACCTTGGAGATCACCCAGTCTCCTCCCTAACCCCCACCCCTGCATTTGATACTTGGGCACAAGGAGGCCAGAGAGGGCAAGGGCTTGCCTAAGGTTGACAGCAGTTCTTGGGTTGGTGCAAACGTTGAACAGCTCCTGCTCCTAACCAAAAGGTTGGTGGCTCGGCTCTACCCAGAGGAACCTTGGAAGAAAGGCCTGGTGATCTCTTTCCAAATGGCCAGTGACCACCCCACAGAGCACAGTTCTATTCTGACCACACGAGGGTGCCATGAGTTGACTGACTCCATGGCAATGGTTTTAAGGGTGCCCAGGAAGTCCTTGGGAGAGTCAAGACTAGCACCCACCTCTCCTGACTTTCATGCTGGTCACTGTCTCCTGATCAGACTGTCCAGTAACATCCCCACTTACATGTGCTTATTACTTATTGGCAGTGTCATTTCACTTGTAGGGTGAAGAAACAGCCAAGACATTCAGAGAGATAATTACAGAATAAGGAAAAGAGCAAGGGGGTACGGGACTCGCCTGTGACGTGAAGCATAACAACATGTCTGCTGACACACAGAATGGCCACTCTCAGCTTAGAAAGCAGAGGGCTGCAAATGCCATTGCTCCCAGGGCCACCCAGTGTGTGAAGCTGCCAAGGCGGAAAGAGTTAGGGCTTGGTGGGGACTGTGGTGAACTGGCGACCACATGCCCCATCTAAGGAAGGCAGTTACTGCTTGGTTCTAACCCTGCTGAGCCGGAACATGGGCTCAGGACCTCCAGGCCATCTGATTTCTTGGGAGAAATCAGAAATCCAAATTTTCTGACTATGAAATGCTCCACATTGTAAAAATATTGATCATATATATGTATGTATTTTTTAAAAACAAAGTAGGAACCAAATTAAACAAATCTGAAATCAGTTTCTGGCTCATGGCCCATGGCGTGCACCCTCTGGCATAAAGCAATGGAAACCAGACTGTGTGTTTCAGTAGAAAGAGCTGGATGCAGCCAGGGCCCCGAGTTCCAGGCCTGGTCTGTCCCCTACTTGCTTGTGACTATGAACTCTGTGTGTCCCTTCCCCTCACTGGTCCTCAACGTCTTCCTCTTTGACAGAAATTGATCCTTACAAGCACTTCTCTCAACAATCAGTGGATTCTCCTATGTATGTATCCAAGTGTTTTGACTAATTTGGCCCTAAGTGTCATTGGAAACCAGGGTGGTCACTGAGAAGCCACCTCAGAAGGGAATCAAAGGGAATCTCAACAGAAATGGCTATAATGATTTCCTTGATAGAAATCTGAGGGCATGGAGCATTTACTAAGCCTGAACAGTGAGTTCAGGGATGTTTGCTGTTTTCTTCAGTACTTTTCAGAATGCTTAAAAGACTTCATGACAAATGTTTCCTCAAAAGACATAACCACGACTTGTCTGGCAGTTTGTCATACTGTGGTGTCCGGCAGTTTGTCATACTGTGGTGGCTTGCGTGTTGCTGTGGGGCTGGTGTTTATGCCACAGGTGTTTCAAATACCAGCAGGGTCACCCATGGTGGACACGTTTCAGTGGAGCTTCCAGACTATGACAGACTTGGAAGAAGGAAGGGGCCGTGCACTTTTCAAAGAAGTGGCCAGTGAAATCTTATGAATAGAATGAAAGACTGTCTGATATATTACTGGAAATTTTTATGAATAGCCCTGAAACATTGACTGATATACTGCAGAAAGATGAGTCCCTCAGGTTGGAAGTCACTCAAAATACGACTGGGAAAGAGCTGTCTCCTCAAGTTGACCTTAAAGACATGAATGGAGTAAAGTTTTCAGGACCTCCATTTGCTGATGTGGCGTGACTCAAAATGGGAAGAAACAGCTGCAAAGATCCACTAATAATCAGAACATGGAATGTATGAAGTGTGAATCTCAGAAAACTGGGAGTTGTAAAAAAATGAAATGGAATGCATAATGATCGATATTCTAGGCATTAAAAACTCAAAAATAAAAAAACCTCACTGCTATCAAGTCAGAGCCGACTCATAGCGACCTCTCCTTGGGTTTCCAAGGCAGTAACACTATGGTAGTAGATTGCCCAACCTTCCTTCTGAGGAGTGGCTAGTGGGTTTGAACTGCCAGTCTTCTGGTTAGCAGTCAAATGACTTAGGCACTGCGCCATCAGAGCTCCCATTCTAGGCATTAGTGAGCTGAAATGGATGGGTTTTGGGCATTCTGAATCAGACAATGCTATGTTGGGAATGACAAATTGAAGAGGAATGGATTGGAGGAAGATTCATTAAAAACCTGTGATATGCAGACAACACAACCTTGCTTGCTGAAAGTGAAAAGGGTTTGAAGCACTTACTGATAAAGATTAAAGACTACAGTCTGCAG